GTCGCGTGTAGTCTGTTTGAAGGTAAGCGAATGCGGTCTGAGAGCGTCACTTCTCATTTTGAAAGATCAGTGTAAGAACATGGCAGCGAAAGAAAATTTGTTTCACATTTCAAGGTATTCGATTCAAAAGGTTTTATCAGCTCTGAATTAATTATGGATTTTGCTGCTTCACCAAAAAGAAGATTTTATAAGTGAGGTATACTATCGAAGAAATTGTTTTGAAAAAACGCCAATGAAATCTTTTCGCATTTTAAGCGACGTCACTGAAATAGGTTGATCGCGAGAAAGTTTTTATAAAAACTTTTTTGGAACGTAGCTAGATCATAGATTTAGTTTAAGTACTATGAATCTTAATCAGGAACACCTTTTGGAAGGTGATATGCTTAATTTTCATATTGAAAAACGAACCCTAATATAGCTCGAGCAAGGGGCGAAAAAAAAAGAAAGTTTGGATGAAGATCGAGGGGAGCTTTGAATTGTTTCTCTCATGTTCCACAAGCATGATTCAACATCCATTCAAAATGTGACCTCGATGGACGCTTGTTTGAAGAGAACTCCAATACCAACACCTAAATCTTGTCCTGTTTACATTGTTTCCACAGTTTTGTTGTTGAATAATTATATATTTGGGTTCCAATTAGTTTCTTTTCAGTGGACTGTTTATCTTATGTTAGTATGGAAACTACATAGAGTTCCCACGCAAAAATAGGCTTATGTCATTCATATCGGTAATTCGGCCCAATGAACTCTAAATATGAGACTCAATTTAGAAAAAGAAGAAGAGCACTACGTAGTTTAGCACACTCTACTAATAAGAGCTGAATACATCGAAACCCTCCAGGCATATATCAAGCGAACTCTACATCTTCCTAAATTTATAGATAGAAATTGTATTGAAAATACGAGCGAACTCCACATCTTCCCAAAAAAAGTATAGAAATAACATAAAAAAACAAGAGCAAACTCTACAAATTTCAATTCTTCAAACAAAATAGCTGTTAAAATTCGTTTCAGTAAAAAATATTAAATAATAAAAGCAACGATTTTAATTTTCGGAGTTTTGTTTTGAAGAAATGAGTTTTAACGGATTAAAAATAGAAAATTTGACACTTTCAATCACTTTTAATGTGAAAAATTCAAATTAATTGAAAAATGAAATATAATTTAATTTAATAAACTTTGAATTTTCGACTGTATACTCGCAAATGACAGGATACCATACAGAGCATCTCAGTGTGAATCCTAGTTTTTGTGCTCACGGTTTCAGACGTTGTATGACTGAAACTTTTTTGTCTTCATGTTTTCAGATTGGTGACCAGTGTCAGGCATTTTTGATGCCGGTCTTTCAGATTGCAGTCTAGCGTCAAACTTCTTGCGCGATATTTTTGTACATGGAATTGCTGCCTGTGAGATGCTACCGTACTGATACTAACGATTTTTTTATTTTTTGAAAATGAGAGTTAGATCGGAAGTATACACACAGAATGTGAATTAGAGCGGAAACATATTCATAACGAAAACAAGATCTGTTCAGGTCCTATAAATTCTGATAGATCTGGCTATATCTTAGTAGAGCTAGTATATTTAATAGAATAAAGTATATCTTAATAGACCTCATGGATAAATCTTTTTCATGAAAAAAATATAAAAACTTTGCTACTTCATTATCTTGTAAGAATTATTAGCTTAACACGAAGAGAATAGAAAAAATTAATGTTACGTGAAAGTGTCGCATGCAAAAATTTGAGTCAATCTCAAACTTATCGTGACTTTCCTCACAGAAAAAATGCCAGATTAAAACTACTTAAGATCTCCCTTAAAGTTTGCCGTGTGACACAAAATATTACGGCTTCACGTTGATATTATATACAATAGTTCAAAGATTTTCAGATTCCTATTATTTTTCATTGCTATACGATGCGAAGCATTTTAAGTTGACCCTGAGACAGTGTTGAAAGAAGTAAAACTTTTTATCTTCATCCTCACTGACATGAAGATTTTACTTTTGTTTTGATTAGCACTTTTATACTTATTATCACCAAAACTTTACTCATATTATGTTGATAGCTCAAGGCTCGTCTCTTAACTAACTCAACATGATGTTATAGTATCGGCAAAAAAGAAAGTAAACTAATTATATAATGTAAAGAAATCGTTCATAAATTGAGATTAATTAAAACTATAAATAAAAGTGAAATGGAGATAGCAAAGTGAATCAAGTCAACTGCCAATAAAAAAAAACCTGATTATAAATCGATCATTGAAATTGATTTCATATCTATCTAAATTGTGTCTAATGTATAAATTAGATTGACAATATGTGTTTGTATGTTATTTAATAAGCTTGCTTCTACTCTTAGCATTATTTTGATAAGTTACTCACCACAACGAAATTATTGAAATCGAATATTTTGAGAATTATTTAATGTAAAAAGCGCTGTTGAATAGACTTGATGTTGTGTGTGTGTAACACTATTTGCTTGTTTTGTCGAATGATTCTTTATTTTACCTTTGCAGTAAGGCTCATTTGTACGTTTCTTATTCTTCGTTAATGTGCTTGGTTTTTTTTCCCTTTTTTTTTATTTTTTGCGACATACTCTATTGCGGACGTATTCAAAAAAGATGCGCACGTTGTGCACAAAACGTTCTGCTTTAATGATTTGTGTGCAGTGAATACTGCATACAAGATAATATCGAAACATATTAATACTTGAAAAAATATCGAAAAGCAAAAGATAGTAGAAAAAAAATCAAATTACCTTTTTATTTTGATGAACGTAATACATTATATTCATGTATATGGATGAATTGTAAAATTATTGTACCATTATATTCGTATATGTAAAATTTCAATAAGTCGAGTTCTTCTCAATCAATCTTTATGGTTTTTCATATTCTCCTCTCATATAGTACTATAGAATCCTCTAATCATTATTTTCAAAATTGAAAAGTTTTTTTCGTCCATATTTTTTATAGAACGGTACAATAAATTCGCAATTCATCTATATATGAATAAAAAGTCCGAAAGCAAAAAATTTCGATATATATTTTTTCCTATATAGTTGATATCGAGTCAATACCATTGCCCATATTTCTCTTTATATATTTCGAACGTTTTGTTTTTGAAAAAATATAGTTTAATGATATTAGCATATCTAAGGGATTGAATGTTTACTAATAACAGTATATAAATTAATTTATTTAATAAATACGACCTATAAGATTTAGTATCATATACTTTATTGCTTTTGTAAATATTTGTTGACAAATATAACTTTTGTTTTTCAAGTTAAATCATAAACTTTTTTTTCTTTTTCTCTCAGTGAATTATATAATTTAGTTGGATCAATGTAATGATCACACTGGAAATTAATCAGATTTTTTTCTTGAGTTCGGTTTTTGTATTACTTTGCTCAATAGTTCAGTTTTAATGTCAAATAATCTTATATTGATTTTCTAACAAGTCTATGTCTAACAATCATTCAATGGAATATTATTATTATTATTTGATACATCGTATGGAAAAAATGAATTTTTTTCGATCAAAATAATAATCATGGGATTTGCAAAAAAAATAAAATGCATAATTGCTTGCAAATTAATATCGTAATGTACTCAATACAATCTCTTTACACAAAGTCTGTGAATTGTAAATAATGCAATAGAAATTTTATCATACAAGGATTTCAAATAATTTTTCTAAGTTTGTCAGTTCAAGAATGACATTGACTTTGATAGGTATTGATGATTTTTGATAAAAATATCGGACACTTTTAGTATTTCAAATGCATAGCACATGATATTTTACAAGTTCAGATATTTATAACTAAAATCTTTTCAAGATCAATATCATATTTAATAGTACTTCATAAGCTAGACATTGTTCATAAATCAATGTTTACTTATGCATTGATATTCAACAAATTGTTCTATGAGTATTGATTAAACCATACTGATGTCACTGAAACTGACTGAACGGACAGTGGAACTCACTGAGACGAAGGCACACTGATTCTTTTAGGGTATAACATCTTCAGTGCTTTTATTTATAATCCTCAACGAAATCAGTGAAGTGAACGCATCCATCCTTCTTAAAAATGTCGTGAATTTGGTCTATCTATAATTTTACATAATCAGACCAACACTACAGAATTACTTCACTGCTAACTCTCCTCTTAACTCATATGTTCCAATTCCAATCATGAGTATTCCTATTAAATATTTAGTTCTGTGGAACTCACATATATTTTTGAAGAAAACAATAAGTATAAGTTTCAAGGCAGTTTTCCGGCTTCGACAACCTCTCTTCCCAACAAAGGAAAATTTCTGTCCGAATCACAGAAATAAATTGGAGAGATTCTTA